CATTAGGCCAGTTACAAAGGTGTCAACGCACTTGACTGTATCCATCAGGATGACATATGGCTGAATCCAGTTTAGTTAGCTGCCCTTAAGGCACTGGTGTGACCCCATAGCATCATGATATCTATGGATATATAACCTGACATAAAGTGTGTGGCCAGTAGTTTGTCAAGCATTTTGGCTTAGATTGTGTTTTAGTCCAGTTTCTGTAATTCTTCTGTCTCTGGTATCAGTATCAGACAGTATGCGTCTGCGTGTCAGGTTTTACGTACAATGTGAAGACTAAATGTTTCCACAAGGACAGTAAATTCTAAAATCACCAATATTGTGGGGACCAACCCCCACATTTTCCTATGAGGAAAATGGCTTAATACGTATTTCTTACTGAAAATGCAGAATGGTTTGTGTTGAGGGTTGAGGTAGGTCTAAAAAATAAATTTGCTTAGTATTAAAACAATACAACTGAATGGAAAGTCCCCACCATGATACACCATGAAAAGCAGATGTATGTGTGTGTCTGAGCGAGTATGAATGGAAATCACCAGGCCTCGCCACTAAGTGCCGAGAATCATTGGGATAATTACAAAGCAATACACATTCAGACACTCTCTGGCTCACTCACAGTGGGAATTCGTCAGCTCAGGGAGAAATTGATAGCTATTTAGCCACTGGATAGTCATCTGTTTTAATGCATTAATTTTGTATTAAGAGCACTGACAAATTTAATAGTAGAAATAGGGGTTGGATCAAAAGGGGGTCTTGCATGTGTGTGTGGCTGTACACGCACCACATGCACATTTGTGTATGGCTTTAGGCCAGAAAAAAAAATACTCTACACAAATGCATACGTGAATGCTTGGCCAGTGCATGTCAAGCTTGCAGTCCAGTTTCACATACATAACGTGTAATGAACCACAGTACTCAAGCAAACAATAGAGTTACCTTAAAGAGTCCATGCTATTTAACCGGATATGTTGTTATTCAGGTAGCTTGTGACAATTATGTGACATGGTGACAGTTTAACTTCAAATAAATTGCATGCATTCAAATTGAAAAAGAGAACTGATGATGTTCACTTTTGTCATCAGTGACAATATGTAAAACAATTGTATCACGATGATTATTAAAAAAAAAACTGATAAATGTGATGAGATGAAGTAAGAAAAAATATAAGAATATAATCCAAGAATCAAATAATCCAATTTTAGTGAACAATGTCAGAAATCGCTAGTATTAATTTCTATGGAAAATGAATATTTAGTGTTTATCTGAAATTTCTTCTCAATTAAATTTTTGTTTTTGTTGACTAAATTTAGATGTCATTTTAGTCCGACAGTAGGTCTGACAAAAAATGATTAAATGTAGCATGATGAAATATTGACAAAATTCAAAAGATAAAAACGACTAAAACAAATCTGTGTGTAAAAAAAATAGCACTCAAAAGACATTTTTAGCAGCTCGTGCAGTAACATTGAGAATCCAACACGGACCTGCGTATGAATAGCTTGCATAGCTAGAAACGTTTGTGTACTTGTGTAGAGTATGTTGTGGAACTTAGAGCCGCTTTACCACGATTCCTCTGTGGGACTGGGCATTTGTGGAGGTATGATGAGTGCCTGCCCTGTATTAGGCTCTCTGGCAGTTAAAGTGGCGATAGGTGTGAAAGGTGTGTGTTTTTTCAGCCCACATAAGTGGATGCTTCTGTAGATCCATGTACAGGAGCAGGTAGGTGTTGAAAGTGATAGCTCTGCGTGATGGGAGCGAAGCAGGCAGAGACGCAGTGTTGAGTTGCGGTGGGGTGGAAAAGGTGGGTCACCCTTGCTTTTACTCACCTACACGAATACAGGGGACTGATTCATCCTCCACTCGGGTCGTTATGTGCATGTGCAGAGAGAGTAATCAAAACTCGTGTCCGGTAAAGATGGGACGCACTTGCTGTCTTTTTTACACACACACACACACACACACACACACACACACACTTTCTCCCTCCCACCCACTCAGGTTTCACTCAACTGCACTTCCCCACAGCTCATGTGCTCTCCTGTAAGTCTGCCATTAACTTCCAGCCAATTAAATGAATTCTGCCATTAACTTCCAGCCAATTAAATGAATTTTGAGTAGTAATGTAAGCCATGCTGACTCTGTGGCCTTCTCTGGCTCCGGGGGCCTGTATGTGGCTGTTCTGGGGCCACTGTGGAGGGGAGACTTCTCAGCACCCTGACCGGCCCCTCCCTGCTCGGTGAACATGACTTTTTCATTAAGCCGCTGAATTCCTGAACTTCAGTTGGAGGTGATTTATCAGCATGGAGCTTCATCTCAGGATCATAGGAAACAGACACGCCACACACCGATGCTCTCTCATGCGTTATTGTGTTTCACGTTCAGACCCAGGGGTGTGTGTGTGTGTGCTGGGTGGGAGATTAGGTGTAGAGAGCATCTCAGGGGTCCCTCCTGTGGATGTTTCAGATGGAATCATGTGGAAATATCTGTGTGTTTGAAAGAAAAAACGTAGGTCCTTGGACGGGTCTGTTTGGCCCTCTGGTGTCAGACCTGGAGAGCAATATATGTATCTCTGCTACATGGAAATTATGAATATAAATGACTATTATCTCTTATGGTGTGTTGGAGAGCCTTGAGCCTTCTAATCTCCCTTACATAAAGTATCATTCCATTGCCATGTTGGTAAAACATGACATTCTTTGAATCATCTTGAAGCACCATGGTGGTTTGGAGTAAATATAGTAATTGTACCAAAATTGTAATGGTGTAGCATATGGCTAACATATTTAGCATCAAGTGTATGTTAGACTGGCTTCAGTTTGGGTAAAGAAGTGATGTATTGCTCTTCTCTGGGCTGAGCCAGCTAAGGTTCACCCGTGTAAATCCTGCCCTGTTTATGGGCGCTGTAAAACTCCCCAAGGTTTTCTTTTTTTTTTTTAAAGATCTTTCAAGTTTAGTTCAGGTGTTGTCTTTTTCGCTGCACTTATTTTCACGAAGACGGCTGAAGTAAAGACATATTTCATGAAGAAAGAATAAACTGTGCCATCTCGTAGCACACAATGGATTGATTTTGTGTTTTATGCCAGCAAATCTGTGACAGATCAGTGTACCTGAGCTCTGATACGCTGCATATGTGTTAGGGAGGGTGAGGTGGAGAGGTGCAGCTCAAGCAAAGCCCAAAACATCCAGCAGCACCTACTCAATGACATCATACCCCTACTTCAAACAGGAAAGGGAGAGAAGGAGAGCAAGGGAGAGCGTGAGGAGAAAGACAGAGCCTTTTACGATCACCTAATAACTCCATTACATGGAGCTGAGGGGCACAAAAAGCAAAAGCCCATTCCTGGAAGTCAGTGGCCCTAATGCATATCTTAGGTATACCAGGGTGACATATGATATCAGCACCACAATTGCCTTAAAAAAAAGCCTTATAGCAACGTTACCCGAAAATTAAATATTACCAGAGAAGGAGAACATTTCAGGGAACATAATATTTTGTTCCTCTCTCACTGTTGTCAACACCTGATGTGGCCTTAATTGGGTTAAAAAGCTAATGTTACTCTGGCTTTGTGCATCCGAAGCCGATGGAAACACATCTCATCTCTGCGCTGCAGGGCAAAGCCAACTCAGTCGTGTCTTAATGAATCAATTTGTTTTCCCCGACCTTTGTCAGGGTTTGGGGGTGGTCTGTGCAGGAGATTAAGAGCTTCTCCAGAAGAGAGAAAATACATGTTTCGCCAGGCAAAAAAGCAGAGAGATATTTTTACAGTTTTGCATCATCTCCTTCATGGTGCAATTTAGTTGCTTTTTCATGACTCACGTAACAAAAGAAAGATAAACAACGAATACAAGGTAAAGAGACCTAGGAAAGATACTGCTATTTAATCACATTATCATAGTTGGCCTTTTATGTATAGTCTTACAGTGGAGAGAGGAAAGGAAATGATAAGCAGAAGTGATTGGTTATGAGCCATTTTTTTAAAAACTCACATTGCCCCTTAAAGCACCACAGCACAAATGCGATGAAGCACTTGTGCTAACTGCTGGCCATAGCTCCAACCATCTTCTGTTTTGATCATTAAAGTTACCAATGGCCTTCATGCACCTTTGTCATATAATTTCAAAGATGTATCGTGCCGTTCTTGAACACAGAACAAGGAAAGGAGTGTGGACAGTAAGTGTGTGTATTGTCTGACATATATAAATTGCTATAAATCTCTCACTCCACATAAACAAACATAATTCACCAAAGAGATGATGGCCATGAATAAGGGGAAAATTGCCATTGATTAACACTGGCAGTATTCACAAAAGTTGTTTTTATGACGCTTAAAACAATCATGACTTGAAAGAAGACATGAATCAAGGTTAGTAAAGATGTATTGGTAAGTGCTTTCAACATACGTGTACAGGTGATAACTAGAGACTAGCAGTCAGATCTATAGACCTGCAATGCCTGTAATTAGGGTTAGAGCTAAACTCTGCAGGACACCGGCCCTCCAGGACCAAGTTTGGACAGCCCTGCCCTATACCCTCTTCTGGGTATGGTCGTCAGAGCGCCCCACTACCGCCTCGTCTCTCTCACTTTGCCTCGCTCTCAAAAGAAGCAGGATTTGACTCACTGGTGATCAATATTTATCATCCCATGCGTGAAACAGGCAGATGTTTGGAGTTTCCTTTTCAGAGACGAAAGAGTTCTTTTCAGTGAAAGGGATCAATGCACTTTCCTCTGTGTGTCCCTGCTCAAGCTCTTCCTGTAGATGCTGACATGTTCCTCTCATCTACCTCACCAGCCCCAGGGATGCCAATGTCCCTCCTCTGTCTTGTTAGCACTACGCTTATGCTAAGGTCCAGAGACCAGCGTACTGCTGATGAATGACGTTGACTTTGTGTTAGACAACAGAGTCTTGATTGGTAATTGATTTATTCATTTGTAAATGGCATTAGGTATCCGTTCATTTAAAACCTCATGCTAACTCTCGTTCATTCTTTCACTACAGCATTTGCAGCAGCACGAGAACGCTGTGGAGGGCGAGTCGTGCTACTACCACTGTGTTCTGTGTAACTACTCCACCAAGGCCAAGTTGAACCTCATCCAACATGTCCGTTCCATGAAGCACCAGCGCAGCGAAAGCCTGCGGAAGCTGCAGCGCCTACAGAAGGGCCTGTCCGAGGAAGAGGAGGAGTTGAGTGCCATCTTCACCATTCGTAAATGTCCGTCTGCTGACACAGGTAAGAAGCAAAGAATACAAGTTTGTATACTCATCTGATCTTCATGGGGATGGTTCCTTCTTTAGTAGTTGTGGCATTCCCCTCTTTTGAAACTGAGAGTGGAAAATTCCCACTCCATTCATAATTCAGACTTGATAATTGATAGACATTGCATTGTAAATGGGCTACAATGTTCATTGTAGTACCATTTCAGATCCGGTTACCAATAGAGTAGATTCTTATGATGGCACCATAGTCACCTGGTTCTTCAGACCTGGTCATGCGGCATCAGGTGCATGGGAGTTAGTGAAATGTTTCTAAGTGAAAGAGGACAGCACATCTTAGGCCCCTGGGCCATGCCTATGACATCACTGCCGTGGCTCCATGCTCCATTGATGACTAATAAGGCGAGAGGATCTCCTAAGGACAATGGCGATCTGGCACAGCACGTTCATTAATACGACTACAGACAAACAATCATAGATGCCATTAAGCTCCGAACGGCAAGGGGAGGGGGCGCCAAAAACAAAAGGCTGGGGCCAAGGCCTTACTCAGGCCATACGTTAGTTAGCCATTAAAAATACAGAGCTACAGTCAATTAACACACTGTTTCAGCATGGATTTGGTTTTCTAATCATTTTGACTCTTGTGCCCTGACAAAAGACTTCCATTGTGCGTTGCTCCCCTCCCTCCCATGAGCCAGGCGGCCCGACCGGCTCTTACTGTTGTGTCGTTTGTGGGGGGGGGTTGAGAGCGAAAGACGGCGGGCAGAGTTGGCCTCTAAAGACGCTTTGTTCCGAGGAGGCAGGGATAATGAAGCCAGCGGCCGGGAAATTGCGCAAAAGGCAGTCACAGATCTGAGGAGAATCATTAGAGAACATATTTAGCTGAGCAATTAAGGACAATTAAGCTTTCTGCTCACTGCACTCCAAATATGTTAATGACTATAGTACAGTGGACAAGTGAACATGCAAAGGCAATAGGAAGGCCCACTTAGGTTAAAAGGGTGGGGGTGCAAGAGATTTAGAGTGTGTTTCTGGGTAGGTGGAGGTAAAGAGTTCACAAACAAGTCTGGTTTTCTCTCTCTCCCTCCTGCTCTCTCTCTTTTTTGGTTGATGTAGCATTTATTTATATATTTTCTTGGCTAACCTTTGATGTGCGTTAATGGATTCACTTGTTTGTGAGGCTGGTTGGAGGTTAGGTAATGACTCCTGCAGTAGGGATGTGTGGGCAGAGCAGCATGCAGTCGCTACACGCACACACACACACACACATTTGCAACCTTCTGCCATCTTTTTTTCTAGTTGCAGCAATCCAGTCGTACCCCCTTGACGTCAAATGAGCCAACAACTCACAAACAACACATTATGTCTGCCATGTGGCGCAACTTTTCCAAACTCTTCCAGGATTAGTCAGATGAGATGTTCTTTGTAGTGAGAAATGGCTGCGTTCTTTGATGATGGCTGATTGCGTGGCAATGCAAGCTTTTTGATGTATTTAATTACTGGCTTTTTCTTGACTAGATATTATTGAATTTCTGTACCTTCAGGAGAGAATATGTAGGTGATTAAGGCTGAGGTCTAGCCCAGTGCTGACTGGGAAATACTGATGAAGGACAAGGTGAGTATAAATCGACCAGCAGCTCAAAAGGGAACCAGCCTGCCTCTTATTATCAGCTATTGTTTCCTACGCAGACAGAATGAGCGAGAGAGAGGGGTCCCAGCATCTCTGTTCTTTGATAGGTGATACCTGCTAACTGACGTCAGGATCAGGCCTGTGAGCGCTCTGTTAGGGAGGCGGGGTCTTCAGAGAGGAACCGCTGTCCTAATAGCCTTTGACACTCTGTTTACCAAATGGAGCAGGCTGCAGTCGGAGTGTTGAACAGCTGATTGATTACCCTACAGATGCAGGATCAAACTCAAGCTCCTGTCGGCCAAGCCGTGGCGCACTGCTCAGCTTGAAAACAAGTCCCATCCCTTTATATAGTGGGGCCAAAGTTGGATATATAAATAGGTATATATATTTAAAGGTCAGTTAAATTAAATGAGGTGTGTAATAAAGAATGCCGGCCTTCTCCGTCTGCTCCAACTCCCTGCTTCGGCATCTTGTTCGAATTACGCTGATAATGAACATACTTCTTCATCAGCGAGTACGAAACATTGCTAATTCCTCACTGCCGTCCACTGCGCCTATTAACCCACCCTCCCCCAGACTACCGTTACACTTCTTAATGTCCTGCCCCCCTTACCCAACAGAAACCATTCCCTGATGGTGTAATATTTAATTTCCTCCCCGCTAGCTCTTCTGAGGCACTGGACTCTTTCGTGTGGTTGAGGCATGGTTGCTAAAGTGGTAGAAGGCTCCCCTGCTTGTTAAAACAAAGCTGGCCCTGGATTTCTGGGTCAGCTAGGTAGCAATTCCCTTGGCTGCTGCCTTGCGGTGTGCAGCTCTGTTGGGCTACTTCCCCAAGCAGAGCTTTCCTACACCCCAATTTTCTCACCCCAGAGTTTCCAAAGACCCTGAGAACAACAATGTGGATTGAGAAGTTTTTCGAAACCCTTATAAGTACTAAACTTCAGCATATAAGTCATCGTACACCATTTGTGCTATGGACATGAATTATACCTCAAGTCATGTAGCTTGTTGAGGACAGTTGTGATTTAAAACAATTAAAACATGTAGTTTTCAATTGTTCTAGAGTTCAATGAGATTAAAACATAATATGCAGAATGTCACATGAACTGGGATATGCGACTGCAAGCTACAACTCAAAATTTTTTGCCGAACACTTAGTGTGGAACTTTATGAATTAAGAGTCCCCAGTAATGCACATAAACCAACAGACACAGCACTTAAATAGTTCCCAAATTAAGGCTGCACAGCCACCCCTGAGGGAGGTCTTTCGCGTCTCTCTGTAGAACTGTCACATTCCATTTTCTGGTCATTTGTTAACAATATCAATGAGGATCATTTTAAAAAAAGATCCATACCACTAATTCAGAGAATGTGTGCCATAGCAGATGCTGTTGATAAAAACAATTGATTGTGGAAATATTGATTAGCGTTGATTTCAGTTCTGATCCATATGGTGTTATGATATTGTTTTCTCTCAGAACTAACCAAGTTCAGGCTTGATTAAAATAGCCAATCACCCGTGAATACATACCAGCTAAGCATTATTAGAACACCATAACGAACACAATACAAGGCATTCAGATATGACATTATATACACACATGCACAAATACATTAAATATGTGTGGTGGTGTCTGGACGGGAGTGCAGTTGGTGTAGTCTGGGTTTCTGTACCATATTTTTTATTATTTTTATTTTTATTTTTTGCCCACAGAGTGCCAAGGCGGCAGAGTTTCCCATCCAATTAGAACAGTGTGTGGATAAAAGGCAGGCATTGTTTTAATTCCTGCCCCCGCGTTGAAAATGTGCTGCTCAAGCATGCCATTCTCTCACTGGATGTCCATTTGTCATTCTTAACCCTTTCGCTTGCCACAACACAAAGGAGCTCTCTGCAAGAAGGGTTTCCCAAAATTATAAAGCTCAGGCGCCCAAGACAACACGCACTAACACATGCTTACACGGACACAGTCAGCTTCCCGAGTATGTGTGTGTGTGTGTGTCTAAGCTTGATGTGTGGGAAGAGACACTACATCAGCAGATGACAGGTTTTATGAGTGATGTTCACCAGGGCATATAGCTGGGTGACACATTGGGGTCTCTCATTTCAGAAGACTTAATGGACTGAAGTTTTTTTGAACATTGCAGACTGACAGATACAGGAGAGAGAGAGTAAGAAAATAGGTAAGTGGAATTGGAAGATGGTTAGTTGGCTTTTGATGGTGCTACAGGCCTTTGGGTGGCATTGCTTACAGCCAGCCTGGAAGATTTGTGTATGTTTGTAGGAGAGAGGAGAGAAAGCTGTTTTAGGATGTAATTAGCTGCTGATGTAAATCTTTTTCAGTCGCAGATGGCAGTGCCATGATCGCTGAACTATGACGTGCTGCAGGAAATCCCTGTCTGTAGACATGGGAACAGCGGCCTGCTTGGCTTCTCGTGCCAATTGTAGCCCTCCCCTCTCAGTGCCCAAGCGGGGGAGGGAAGTGCACATTCATTATATCAGTGATAGGTTTTTTGTTATTTTTGTTATTGTTGTTGTTGTATCTAAATAATGAAATTTGTACTTACAATGACTTGAACACACCTCTTCTCTGATGAGCATGTTTTTAATTTTTGAATTAAAATGAATTTTGATAGCTTTTTGAAGGCATAAAGTCAAAATGTCAAGGTGAAAGAACTGTCCTGATATCAGAATGAAGAAAAAAGGCCTGTTATTATTATTATAATTATTATAATTATTATTATTATTAATTAATTATTATAATTTTCATATTTCAAAAATATAATATAATATTTATATATAAAATATATACATATAATTTCATGTATATAATTTTATATAATATGTATATAATATATAATATATAATATGTAAAATGTACATAATACGTTTTTTTTTTTCCTTTTCAAATTGTTGACACTCTTATATGTCACTGGCCCCTAAAGTAGGTTTGCATTTTCTCTGTCTAGACCATGGGAAAGAGTATAATGTTTTACAAAACAGGGTCCCAGTTTCTCCCTGTTCCACCAAGCATTGCATCTCTCTCCTTTCACTACAAAATGCAAAAATATATTGCAGGCACAGATTGATGCATTATTAAATCAAACGCTGGATGTTTGCTGGGCTCTTTGCTTTACTTGCTAAAGCCCTTTGACAGCGGACATGATATGTCAAGTGAGAGGAGAGTCGAGAAGTGTTGAAAAGTCCTTACCTTTATTTTTAGTGGACTGGAATGGTACCCTAAGCTCAGAGAGGTGTGTGTGTGTGTGTGTGTGTATGTGTGTGTGTGTGTACACATTCGTATGTATCTGTTTCTTATTGACTGGGGCCACATGTCTCTATGAAGCACAAAAAGCATGTGCATTCCGCAGAAGAAGAGGCGCTCTGAAGGCTGGCTAGGGCTTTCCAGGGCAAGGCTCGTGTCTGGACCCGGGGCCCCGTATAGCCCTGCAGACAGCAACCGGGCCTGGGATGTCCTATCATTTTTACATGCTTGTTAAAATGCAAAGTAAACCATCCCAGAAACAGGATATTATAGCTGCTAACCACGACCCCCACGTCCCAACCATGCCATGGTACATCTGAGTAAAGACAGGGCAACTCATGCAACAAACATCATTGAGGCTTCTTTTAATAAAGTCTGGTATTGCAGGGATGATGCTAGAGATAAGAGGAAGCGGTTCGATTGGCAAGGGCCCCTCCAAGGGCCTGGGGTCAGCTCTTCTTGGACGTCTGTCCCCTAATCCGCATCTGAAGGGCACAGCCCAGCAGAGGAAATTGTTTTTAGTCCGCTGAGCGTGCCACAAATTTCATAAATGCACTACCTTTCATTTTGAAAAATATTAAAATGAAACTGGCCCTTTTATTAAAGCATCTAAGTGATGGCTTTATGGATTTTCCACTCAGCGCAACGTTGGGCAGGGCTCATATGTCCGCGCCAAGCTCACGCAAGGAAGTCTTTTCTTTGCCGGTTGGTTTATAGACAGCCGCTGTATAAATTCCTTCCCTGGCTCATCCTGCTACTGCAAATTGACCGGGAAGCAGCATTTCTATTCTGGGATTGTCTGCAAATCAAAGCGGATTGCGTGGCGATTTCTTCTGCCATTTTACTGGCTGGGCCCGGATAACTCTGACCATTGGCTGCCCTAAAAGGGAGGTGCTTGGGTCAAACGGAGGGCCTCAAAGCAGTACGTGTGTGTGGGAGAGAGTGTGTTTATGTGTATACGTCGAGTGTGCATGTTTAAAACAGAGCCTGTTTCTTTGCTCCATTTCAATCTGGAGATGATAAGAGGGTGTAAATTGTACAGGTGCAGCAGATTTGTATTGTATACAGGCTCATATGCTCACAGACACCCAATTAACACGCATGTGGGTTTTCACACAACCACAGTGGGGTCCTGCGTGTGGGTGAGAGAGGCTTCCTCTGTCATCAAGCCCACTTCAGGGCCCTCCATTTCAGGCCGTTGCGAGGTGCACTGCAGTGAGCGCAGAGAGCATTATAATATTAGTTTCTCTCCCCCTCTTTCATTCCCTTCACCCATCATTACGAGACACTCTCCCTGAAAGCTGATCCAAAAGATAGACAGTCCATCAGGAGGCAGTCATCTCATTTGTACTTACCAAACGTGCTAATGAGTTCTATTCCGGGGCTTGGAGGCTGTGGTGGGGAGCGCGAGCGGGGCGCGAGGGTTTCGGGTGGCAGGCTGAAGGCTCGCGCTCGTCCTGTGTCAGTCAGGGCACTGAAACCGCAGAGGACAGGAACTGTCAGTCATGTGTCCAAGCTGACTGCAGCTAAGCAGAAATGTGCAGCTGGAGGAGAAACAGCAGATGACATGGAGAGAGTTGTGAAGGTCTTTAGTAGTCAAATAATGTTCTTTTCTATACAAACTGTTGACCACTTTGAGATTATTAGTATCACCTGCTGACTGTAATTTAAGCATCCGAAATCTACTTTCAAAGTCCTCTAAAATTAAATGGTACTTTTTGTTTATATTATATTATATTATATTATATTATATTATATTATATTATATTATATTGTTATATGCATCATGTATGCATGTTCACAAACACACACAATACAATTAAAATCTGATAAATGAAGAGTTTAAATGTAAAGATAAATGTTGTCTTAATAAATGTGGAGCTCTTCTCCAAGTATTCTGAAGTGATCTTTTGTATGTCAGACATTAAGAAATCACTGGCTGTACATTCATATAGATTTTTCTTTTAATTATGGATGTCATTTACACTTGAGACTGAAGCCAATGGGTTTCTAGCTGCTCTCAGATTTGGCATTTGATGCCACGCTGCTACTTCAGTGAGACGGGTGATTTTTCCTTCAGAGTTTCATCAGTTTGGTGTGACCACAGGCTGTAAAAAACACAGAGGGATTGAGAGATGGAGTTTTCCCATCGCCGATCAGAGACAGTGAACGTTTTAGATTTTTGTCTTTTTTTAATAAGCTGATTTGTCCCCTCTAGAGAGGAAATGAAAGATCAAAAGCCATGATCTTTGGCTGTGGATGAGCTGCCTGTGTCTTCAACATACAGCTCTGACAGCAGAATGCCCTCTTTCTCTGACTGCGGCTTCTCAGGGCAACTGGCACAATCCCTCGCTGATGGGAAGATGCACGTTCATCATCGCAGGCATGCTGTCTGTTGTTTTGCGGCTAGAGCACAGAAGATCGGGCTCTCACACACACATGAATACTGAAGAGAGCCATCTTGTACCTCCGACCTGCCAATTAGAGTCAGCCAAACAGATGGCACTGATGAGAGAAGCAGGAATAATTCAATATTCCACCCTGCTAACCTTTACCTGTGGAGCCGCATGGCAGCCATTGATTCAGCCCTTGCTTGATTATTCACACACAGCCCAGAGGAGCGAAGGAGCGAGCGACACAAGTG